AAAAAAAAAAAAGAACAGAGCTTTGTATATTTGAAATGTTATAACGCAATTGCACTCAGCGTGGTATGGTAAAAGTTTGTCCTCCTGTAGATTCTTACTGTGTTGTAGATACGGTAGGGTTCCTAGACAAATATTTATGTACTCAAGCCCTTTATTTAACTTATTAACTGTAGAGGCTTCCGAACCTTCAAGATAAAGGCAATGGTACAGTACTTTTGTGTAATGTGTAATTGTTATCACTTTTCCTTGCTATCTAGTGGAGAAGTGTCACGCTCAAAATAAAAAAAAAAATATATGTTTAACAAAAGGAAGTGTGAATGCTCTATGCAGGCGATGAGGGGGGCAATGGGGGAGGGGACAGAGATCAGGGACCGGTTCCCAAACCCGGCACCCTGGGTTTGTCTGAACGCCCCTTCTCCTGGAAGAGGTCGGGGTTGAATCCGATTCTCGGAGGGATCCGGGTTCCTACACAGGTTAAGGAACCACCATCATGCCACCATCACGACGCAGTGAGAGCTGGGGGTCCCGGGCCAGGAAGATGGGGTGGTTCGAGGCTGGGTGGGAGTATGGTAGGCGTCGCTGACGGTGGAGACAGAAATTTGGAGCGCACTGGAGGGTTGGAAGGCAAAGGAAGCCATTCGTGGCAAGTGCCACGTAGCAAGGAAGTGCGCAGTCCGAAATGACAGGTAATGGCGAAAGCGAGAAGCCCAGCACCGGCTTCCGAGGGGGCGGGCTCCTCGGTACACTCTCCGGGAGGAGGGAACGTGAGAGAGAGAGAGAGAGAGAGAGAGAGAGAGAGAGAGAGAGAGAGAGAGAGAACGCTGCAGACTGATGGAGAGGCAGCAGCGCGGGGTATCCAAGTGGCAGATCTTAACTCGACAAATGTCATTACATCACTTACCCAGGCATTGGGAAATGTATACATTTTTTAAGAAATCTAAACAACTCAGGTTTCATGAGGAGACCCAAACAGACTTGCAACGTGCAGCCCCCTAGGCGCAGCCCGCCCCGCGGCGGGATCCGTAGTGGTCCCTCCACGGGGCCCTGCCTGCGCCCCTCGGGTGACCGCTCGGGGTAAGCCCGCCCGCGGGGGCTGGGTCTCGCCGACGTTCCCAGGGTGATGGGAAAGGGAAGAGAAGCTTAATTAGTTTCAATTTGCAGTAATTAGCGCGCCGGAC